TATATATATAATAAAGCTGCTTCATAAGTCAGAGCATTGTTGCTGTTTATATTTAATTTAGTGACAACACAGCATGTTTGGCGGCCATATGCTGTGTTGGGATAATGAGATGCAGCCATCCTGTATCATCCTGTGGGCTCATGTTTGCTTTATAAGAACAAATTCTGCTGATTTTCGGAGCTTATTTCAATGAGACAGCTGAAATTGCACAAATAAACTTTAACATTAATAAAAGATGCACCCTTTTAAATAATAAATTATAATTTATGCAAGCAGGATGACAGAATGCCAGGAAAGATAGTGATGATGTTTTTTTTAAATAAACATAATAGGGTGGTTTAAAACATAGTCTAAATGAATGCTGCTGTACACTATATCGTTAAAAAAAGGACATGTCATAGGATATTTTTGTGTTTATTAATCTTGGTAAATCTTGTTGCACATTTTGGTATTCATCACATTCATTCAGCTATTAGCAGGAACAGTGAGCTATTACTAAACTGTGCATGTTTTTCTTCAATGCATATCATACTGTACCTGTGTAGATTCCTCCATCAGCGGTTGCTTTTTAATGTTGTTTCCAAATTAGGTTTTATGATATTTAAAAGTGCATTTTAGGTGGTGCATACAGTTAATGTCACTGTATGATGACTTTTTGAGCTCTGAATGAAAGTTTTATGAGAAGCATTTGAGAGTGAAAGTCTTTTAGGCAGCCAGAGGGACATTTATTTCTATTTCATACAGAAGTATGTGAAGTAATTTTGAAGTATGCAGCTAGGTCTTTCAAAAGGTCTATTTCTGAATTCATTTTGCCATAACTTTCTTATCAGATCCTTTCATAATTCTGTGCAAGACTCATCCTCTCATATTCTGGCTATTCAAAAACAGAAGCATGGAAACAATCTGATGGTTTCAATTTCTGCCTTTCATACCTCTGATTTCAGAGGAGGGTTTGAATATGTTCAACACCTGTTTTTTGGATTGCCGGTGATTAGCTTGATCAAGGGCTATTCAGAAGCTGCTAGTTGACATAATTAGTCTGGCGCTTTGTCAGTTTATGGCTTGTAAATGAGAGTCATTATGGCAGAATGCTCTCTAATATCTTCATGCTGTCTGAACTCTGCAGGTGGGGCCGAGATGCTAACCGCCTTTCGCTGTCTCTCACAGAAAACCAAACGATCAGAGTGTTTTGGGCTCTTCCGAGAGAACTTTTTCTCTGGTGATGGTTTATGTACTTACATGTGTTTCTAGTTCTCACAGAAAAGACAGAGGAACCAGTCAAATACACTAGTCAAACCATGATCCTTGGTTCAGAATCGTGGCTGATATTACTTCCAGTTCATTCATCAAATACAAATCGGAGGTTAAAGGAATAGTTCACCCAAAAATGAAAATTTGCTTAGAGTTAACTCACCCTCAGGCCATCAAAGATGTAGATGTGTTTGTTTCTTCATCGAAACAGATTTGGAGAAATGTATTATTACGTCACATGCTCATCAATGGATCCTCTGCAGTGAATGGGTGCCGTCAGAATGAGAGTCTAAACAGCTGATAAAACATCACAATAATCTGCAGTTAATCCACATGACTTTAAATAACGTCTTGTGAAGTGAAAAGCTCAACATTTGTAATAAACAAATCACTGATACATTTTTAACTTCAAATCATTGGTTCCGGTCCATGATCCAGGTAAAAGTCATCTCAACTGAATCAGGGAATGAAATGTTTACAAATGTTTACAATCCAGTTCTGAACAAATATTTCAATGGATTTTGATGCGAGAGGACAACAGCGGATGGACTTTTTCACTGGAGGAAGTGTTATTATGGATTATAAATTAAAATCATAATGATGGATTTGTTTATTACAAACATGCAGATTTTCACTTCACAAGGTATTTATTAATGGACTGGAGCCATGTGGATTACTTGTGGACCATTGTGATTGGCTGTTTGGACTCTCATTCTGACGGCACCCATTCACTGCAGAGGATCCATTGGTGAGCAAATAATGTAAAGTATAATTCTCCAAATCTGTTGATAAAGAAACCAAACTATATCTTGGATGGCCTGAGGTTGAGTAATTTTTCAGCAGATTTTCATTTCTGGGTGATCTGTTCCTTCAAGTTGGTTGCATTGCATTGTGGCAATAGCAGGCTCGTCTCAGGTGGTGTTTCCGTCTAAAGAAAGACGGCAGATTATAGAAGACAGACAGCACAATTTGTCTGGAACCATGTATTGTAGCTTTTTATCTGTGTGTGACCATGTAAATCCCTTAAAGTCTGTCACGCACATTTCGTTTTGTGTTAAAATGGCATTTAAAACACTTTATTTAATCGGCACGCTGTGATGGTTCATGTATTGATTTCAAGTGTTTTCATTTCAGCCTAAAGGGTGGCGACATCGACTTCCTGGGCATCAATACCCGTTAACCCTTTTGAAAGCGCAAAGCTGAAACTCTTTACATGCCAGGCACCTGCAGCCACACAACCATAAAATTGGTATATTTAAGAGGAAGATTATAAGTTGACATTTTGACTTTTAAAATGCCACAAGTTCACTGGCCTCCTAATCCCCCTCTTGTTATGTGTGACATTTCATTATTTAGTATCCTGAAGGTTTCCTTGGCCTCTGATTCGAATGCAGAACAGGGTACATTTTCACACACGCTGACACTAAATAAGGATCTTTTTAATGAAGGTTAAAAATTGACTGTTCTGATTTAACTCGCTTCATAAAAGGAAGTAGAAGTACTGCATTTTAAAAATGCTTGATTTTTTTATTTTCCCTTTTTTATTAGAAGAAATTTCAAATTTGAGTTCTCTAATGGCATTTAGTGAAACAGAAAAAACAAGCTTATTTAGCAATGAAAAACAGCTGTGCTCTTTGATCTGTTGGCATATTTCCCATATGCCTGCATAAAGTTGTATGAGAGAGTTGTGGCCAGTCTGTGCTGTGCCGTTAAATGTCACCCTGTAGTATGTTAGAGGAAATATCTGATTTATGACATATCAAACATTTCACCAACTTTCAAGCCTTGATTTCTACTTTTTAAGCCATTTACAACAAACCTCTGCCTTTTGGCATCTAAAGGTGTATTTTAATTTATTTTATTTTATTTCTGCCCAAAGCATTTGGTTAATGTCTCGAGTCACGAGTCAGATAGACATCTCTAGAGCTTGTATAATTATATGTACATTTAATTGCATTTTGTGAAATTACTGAGAGTTTGATAAAATACTAAATGGATATCTATGCTGTATATGAATTATCTGAGGTTTTCCGCCAATGCGGAGACATTGTCTGGTAACATGACTGCTCAATATCTTTAAATAAAGTGACAGGGAAAGGTGTCTGTAGATCCCTTGAGCTCATTTGTCAAAGAAGAGACTCTGTGTTTTGGCAGGGTCAGAGCAGAGGACACTGGTCTCTCAAAGGCTCCAGGACAAACAGACTTTTCATGGTGTCTTTCTGCTACAGCATTCAGACACCACTGAATTTGAAACGGCTGCTGCAATCGATGCCCAAACCATCTGAATTCTGCATCAGAGACTATCTGTCATGCTGTAATAAATGCACTGTTGATCTTCTTCAGTTTGAGT